AAAATGAAAATGTTTCAACAAATGTCCAAAACGGGAACAAGTTAATTGTTTGAGATCTTCTCTATTTATAACGTCCAAACACAAACAAGATCCCCCCCCCCGATTCAAATGTTGTGTGGGTGAAATTTTTTCGTCGCATTAGTTCACAGTGAACAAAACTTAGATATTGGTATGGGAAAGACTGGGAAGAGTGGTGCGCCACAAAACTGATGTTCGTGACTTTCTCGACTTTTTTTGTAAATTCAAGACAAACAACATACGGTAAGATGTGATCTTTGATATCCAACTCTATCTCAGCCTTCACTTCATCTTCTTCATCCAAAAGCCCTTGTTGCACATCCTTATGCATGAGATCAACAAACTGTGGTTGAAGTTCGAGCGGAAGCACATGCGGCAGCACAGTTCCATGTTTCAAATCGGAGATGAACTAAACAAATGCGGATCTGTACTATACAAAATTAATGCTATACTTACGCCCTCTCTGAAAAGCTCGCTGAGCTCTTGCATATCTGCTTCCTCATCACTTTCCCAGATTTCTTCATAACTGATTTGATAACCTTCACCAGGCATTGTTCCAGATTTCACCTCTTCTTTGACTCGAGTGATGCTGACATCTTACAAGAATAAGACCATCAAGACGAAAACTTGCAGTTTGATCAGAAAAACTTACCTGGTTCATCTTTGATTTTCCGATGACCAGGGTCAGCACCGCTCAATCCTTCAGAAAAGATTCCAGCTGATTCAATAAGAGCTGGACGATCTTTTCCACCATGTCCTCCTCGTCCGCGACCACGACCACCTCGCCGGTCACCTCGGTCGCTTCTGGAAAATATTCGTATATATATCTAACAGGCTGTATCTCAGTGCGGTTCCAAAAAGTCACACTTTATAACGGTTGAAGCTTAAAGGCACCGTCTATCCAAAGTGAGGGTTGACGAGATTATGATAGCATACTAGCGTGGGCCTCCACACTAGGCAAATCCCAGGTTGCGCCACAAGACATGCTTCCGGAGCGAGTTTGTTCCGAAAGGAACGTATCTGGAGCTGGTCACTCCCCCAGCTGGTCACCCGCCCTTTTGCAGGCTCTGTAGGCCTGCAGGTCTGCAGGCGCGCGGGTATATCAGCGCCGCAACCTAGCGACTTGCACCTTCACCCGTCCCCCGGGTTCTCCAAAACGGGAATTTTTGGGGGTTTCGCGGATTCTCGACTCCATATTTGAATTCAGTGCCTTCAGTAGGTCTGAGAGCGACAAAAACAGGGAGTCGAGAATTTGGGTAGACGGTGCCCATAAAGGCAGTGTCCAGGCTAGATCTAACCCTCTACGATTAGTGCCGATCCCGAATCTAAGCCCCAGGAGAGGGGTATCTGCGTTGATCCGGTATTATAATGTTGCCTCCATATGGAGATAATGGGCCAACAGCGAAAATGCTGTCAAGCCCCGCCCGGATCCTATCAAGCTCCACCCACCCATGTACTGAAAGCAGTACGCGCCCTCAAGACATGGTCTCCAGAAATTGGGTTTTTTGGGATTTTGGACAATTCGAACTTCATAACTGTAATCAAGGCCACGGAAGGGCCCCATAAAAGCAAAAACATTGGATGGACTCTCCCTCTAATGAAGCTGATAGTTCGTTATGAATAAAAACATGATAAATCGAATTTCTCTGGTGATCTAGAGCATTAACACTATTACGAGCTTCAAAGAGCATAAACATGAGCTAGGAGCAGAAGAATTTTTGCGCAAAAATGTCCATATTGGCCGAATAGATCTAGAATAGAAAAATTTCTCCAGTGAGGTTTCCTTGCATGCATCACATTTACTAATAATTCTCGAAACCTTGAAGTGCTGGGTGTGGGAAAAATCTCAGGATTTCAAAAGCAGCTGAATTTGTCAGAGGATCTGCTTCGTCTTTAACAGAGCACGTGCGCTTGACCGTATCGTATATACGATAAGAAACAAAGGGGCGTCTTTGGATTGGGTGGAATGAGGCTATGTAAAATCTGATACAAGCTCTTGTTCTCGCCGCTTTTTCGTCTTCTCCCTTATTCGATAGAAACTAATTTAGGTCGATGCAACAGCGTTAAACTCGCGCAAACGCGGAGGGCCTATAGAAGTTTGTCACCTTTTTTCGAACGTGATTTGACACGTCTTATAATTTTTGCCCATATACTCAGCAAAGGAGTTAAAGGCAGTGTCCGGACTAGGTGGGGGATTTGGGATTTCACTGTTGCGCAAAAGTAGCCGCCC